TGATACTTTATCCTGAAGGCAAACTAGCCCTTCTGTCCTCCTCACTCCTACTCCACAGGCAGGTCTGCTCTACAGCCACCTCTTAATTTAACAGCAAATACTTTGCAGAGTTTGAAGTGTTAAGCAGCAAAATAAGGCACAGCAACATGAGAGCGATACCAAGCAACACAGTGCTTTAAAGTGTTCGTGAAAAACATCAACCCAAAACTTTATTTAGTAGAAAACTTTCAAAAGACATAATAATTAGTCTGTTAGAATGTTTAAAGCATTACACTGACAACATACTCATTAAAGACAATTCCCGTTCTCCTAAGGTGTAGCCCCGTTTCATACTGCACCCTTTATTCACTGCTTTCATCCTTACAGAGAGGCTGTAAAGCTCTTCTTCTGCAATGCCATCAAAAAAGAAGTCCTCATTGAAGATAGGATTTCTGCTTCTCTTTATAACAGTGCTTCTCTGCTTCTGTGCTTTCCCTGGCACCAGGGAGAAGGTGATACAACAGTTTATGCTTTTGGGCTCTACAGAGTCATCATATAAACCCTCTGCACTGATTAGGCGGATCCGCAGCCTTTTATTCTCTAAGCAGTATTCAGCTGAGAGCCTCAACATGCCTCCCTTGTCCATTACCACAGTGCTCTCTCCCATGAGTCTCTCCCGGCTGCGGGTCAGGTCCAGGGGGAAGATGGGAGAAGAGGACATGCTGAAGCTGCGTGTGGCAAGCAGCCCCTCTGAGGCCCGCCTGATGGCACTGGGGCTGTTATCAGTGGAGCTGCTCTCCTCTGTAGAGAGAGAATTGTTCCTGGCCACACTGGATTTGTTCTTGGCTTTCAGCGCTAGGCAGAGCAATCCCTCCTGACTTTGTGTTTTGATCAGGGAGCAGGATCTGGGGAGTGACCTGTTGAGAAGCGGAGAACTGAAAGGGGAGTTATCACTGGAGGAGGCAGTATCACTGTCACAGGCACCTTGCCTGCGCAGAGAAAGATGCTTGGGAGGCAGCCTCACAGAAGCAAAGCTGATAGCGATGGGATCAGACACACTCCCTTTGCCACTGAATGTGTTAGCTCTGGATCGAGACAGCATCTATACACTGCAAAACACTTACTGCAAGGTTTTATTAAACAAGTAGTTCTTAATAACCTTTCCCTCCCAGACACACATGCAAGAGAGTCCTTCCCCAGAGAGCACACATCAGAAACAACCTTAAACTGAAAAGAGAGGAAGGATTAGTGCTCTAATGCACCTGAAATACATGTTCTTGGGGCTTCCTAGCTGTTTGCAGCATGTCCCGCAGGTACAGTACGTATGAAACTGAAATACACCAGATGACGTTGCTGTGTTGAAGCAACAACCTGCTAGTACAAACAAGGCTCATGAGAATGCACAAGGCAGCAAGCCAAGGACATTTCAAAAGGGATAATTCACCTTGTCAAAACATGCTAGATCTTGATTCAGATGTTTAACACTATAAAAACAGGTGTGTTGGCAGACATCACTTCCCTGTAGTGAAGTGTCATGAACTACAAAGACCAAGGTGTCACTGATGGAAGAAAGCTTCGAAGTGTGGCCCTGATGTAGTTGCCCGCAGGCCACACTCTGTCCTACTGCCATGGGCTATGAGAGCCCATGAGCTGTGAGAGCCCATAAGCATAACGCTGCTCCAAGGAGTCGTGTGTGGAGGCTCTCTGGGTGTTCCTCCCTTGGCCCCAGCCCCATTCCCGAGTAGACACTGCAAGGGGAGGTGGGAAGGAGCGGCTCTCCATGGCTAGGCAGGAATTCTGCTGCAGGAGCTGCCAGGTAGAGGGATCCTATTGTGTGCAGGGGCGTGTGGAGCACATAAGAACAGCAGCCTCCTGCTGACTTCCTCCTCTCCAGATCATACACAGTACATCTCGAGTTGTTTATATCAGCTTTCACCTAGACTTTATCTCACTTAAGATTTGAATTGGAAATATTCCTGCTTTGCAGCAAGTTAAGACAGCCAGCCAGTCCAGGAAGCTTCACCTAGTCCTTGCAGATTAAATATTAAAAAGAAAATTTATGAATAATGAAAGACTTTCCTCTCGGTAGTGGACTTCGGATGAACATGTCTTCTGTGTGAAGGTGGCACATTGATGGAATTGGCCTCAGTATCTTGATGGGTAGGGCGTGTAATCGTGAGATCTACATCTTGAAGTGGAATGCATTTCAGGGGTGTATCACTAGTCAGCAGCACCTGATTAAGAAACAGATGGTGCTTGCAGTATACTGAAATACAACATTTGAAGCAAAGCTCAAAGCTAGACTCTTCATCCTTGGACTCTGTCCTCAGCCTTTCTGGGTACAGAAGAAGGATGATTCTTTCTAAAATTTCATTTTAGAAGGACCCAGCATTTCAGCAGCTAGTCTGTGGTTTTCTGTCCACAAAATTGTTGTGTTTCTGCAGAAGTATATTCTGAAATAAGAAATTGTTCCACATTTTTACTTTCCATTTTAAAAACCAGGATCTGCTATAGCCCTGACCTCACAAAGCTATATACAGATGATCTGTGATTACCTCCCTTATCTCAGAGCTCCCTATGCCCAAAAAATGTTGGGAAAACAAAAGTCCTTTGGAATATCAGTGGCAGGGAAAAAAAAAAAAATTAAACTGATACCAGTAAGAAGAATCTGATTCTAGGAGCCAATCTAAAGAGCCCCAGAGGCTTCAGGCAACTTTGGAAAAAGGATCAGAATTTTGTGAGGTTTTGGTCTTGAGCAGCAGAGAGGATGAAAACAGGCAGTGACAGTTCTGTTATCAGGAGGAAATTGATTGTCTGAAATTTCATTTAACAGAAAATCAGAAGAAAAGTCACAGGATACTGTAATTATACCTTGGGATAAAGAAGCAGTTTGGGGAGATTTTGTGGATCACCCTCCCCCATCATTAAATATCCTCCATTAATGGTTTACAACCAGAGAAGTGTAGCAAACTGGGTTAAAAGCGCTTGGAGAACAACACTGGCAAGCAGAAGGAGTGTGAGAAAGGCAAGGATTTTCTTTGACAAAATTGCTTCCAAGTCAGGGAATCCACAGGCATGAGAAAATAAACACTTTAACTAGTGCTCCCAAACACAAAGAGTTTAAACATATGGCCAGCTATTACTGTATAAAGAAAAACAATATGAAGTTATTGCTGTCACACACATATTTCCACTGGGAAAAGTAGAAGTCAGATCATGTGACCATAACAGATTCTCTGGCACTTAGTGTTACATTGTGAGGAGCTTTGCTTAAGTGGGGAGGACAAAATTAAACCTGCTATTATTGTTCAGTTATCTCATCTTCTTTCATTACATTAGGTGAACTTTAAGTTTGAATCTAGCCTCAGCCTCTCTCCCTCCCTCATCCCCCAGGGCCAGCAGCCTCCCCCTGGAGCAGGCAGTGTGAAACACATGGCACTTGTGTGGTGGGAGCCTCCTCCACCCCAAACACTTAAGAGAAAACAGGCAGCAATTTCATTACAGCATGTATTTCACTTGAGGCTTTGCGTTACTCGAGAGCATGGCAGAACCTGACACTTCAGCTGTTGGGACACTTGGGGTCTTTTTGCTACCCATGCATGTAAAGTAAAAGATACTTTCCTCTGTTTTCTAGCACTTACAAATATCTTTTGCCACTTACTTTGTCTCAGGTAACATAAGAAATACAATGAAAGCTCTGGAAAATGCTTCTTTAGCACCAGTCTTATAAGGAGCTGAATGAACGAGTCATTGAGAAGAAGGAAAGAATACCAGGGAATACATTTCCAGGCCATAGGTGTGGGAAGCACTGCTCTTCCTTCATGATCAGCAGCACCATCCTCAGAGCTGAGTGTGAAACCAGCCAGGTGATCCAGCAGGTTTTGTGTTTTCTTCCCACCTGAATAAATGATAAAAGCAACTTCCTGGGCAGCAGTCTTGTTCCATCCCTCATCCATTTATATGCAGATAGTCAATCCTGTAAATGCAGGGAGGGCAGGGGCCAGCCCCTCCCAAGTGTCTCAGGGGCTAAAAGCACCTGAAAGCTGTTGTTTCACAGAGAAAATCCCATCCCTGGCCTCCAGGACAGAGATTGCTTTTCATTACTGTGCCAGAGCAGTGTCTGTCTCATCAGCAGTCCTCAGATAGTAAGGCCAGGATCAGAAAGCCATCAACTTGTTCCTGCTGCTTTTAATTAAGCAGAACTCATCAGCAAATGGAAGGCCAGCAAATGACACAGGCACTAATAAGCATAGTACTACAGCTTCTGATATTCCTAGTATTGAGCTACATAGCAGCAGCACCCTCACTCCAGGTGCTGTTTGCTCTTATTTGCTCTTTAATAGGATCAGCTGAAGTTGGGAATTACAACTGATCTTAAGTAATGAAAATATTATATTCAACAATTCACTGATTGGCAACTTCCCTAAAGCGATAGCATTCAACAGCAGCGAACCTGGCAGTCAGGCCAAAGGAGCTTCAGCCCCCAAATACTTAACCCCACTGTCCATTCAAGTATCAGGCATTTCAGGCAGGCTGAAAATCATTAGCAACTACTCTGCTTCCCCTGTCAACAATTTGCCCTCCAAGAACATAATTTAAATCTTTCTGCTTTCTGTTAGATCTGAATTAAAGAGCCTTGGAAGACAATTGTAGAGGACCCCAGTGACCCTGGGCTTGAGGCAGTTTTCTAAAGGAAATTTGCCAAATGAGTTACAGGTTTGTAGATTTTTATTTTTTTTCTTTTTAAAGTTTGCACTGGTATCAGGAAGCTATTACTACAGTTACAGTGATACAAACCCTTCAAGGATAGTTTCAGTAGTACATGATCTTACTTGGACTATGCAGGAGCACATTTCACTCACTGAAAATAGTGTCAAACAAGGGAAAAGAGCCCTCCTGGGCTTGTGTTATTATACTGAATGCTTTGATTTTGAATATTTTTGAAAAGTGTCTTCAGTGTGCTGCCCAGCAAAACTCTGGAAAAGCATTTACTAAATCATTTTAAGTTAGCACCACTTCATGTCCTCCAGGCATAGCAACCCTTTATGATTTATCTATATGGTAAGATAGCATTAAAAGAAAGAATTAACTGAAGATTGCTATCAGTGGATTGAAAGATTGATTTGATCACAGGAAAGGCAAACAAATTACACCTTTAGAGGGGTCAGTGAAAAGCTCAGCATTAAAATAAATCACCATCAGACCCTGGAGACAGAGCAGCTGGGAACGGGCTGGTGCTCCCTCCCTTCCGTCATGCTGGCTTTACCTCTGTGTAATCCTGCTGACTTCAGACTTTGACTGCACAAGTGAGAAGAGAATCACATGCCAAATATAGGCCATGCTAGCTTTGACCGAACTTAGCAGTTTTAACTCCAGAATTACTAATATTAATGTTCCTATTTATCCTGAACGTCTTTTTCACTGGGGCACTGGAGTGCTACACAAAAAAAATACAGTGTTTTAAGAATGTTTTTTTATGACTGAATTGCCGGTATATTCTTGTTCGTTTATTTTATGTTTCTTTTGAATTAACATCTCACTTAAAATCTGTAATGTCAAGAACAGTAACAATTCCCTTCTTCAGACCTCCCAAAGCAGATTTCATGTCTTTTTGATTTTTACTAGATTCTTTTCAACACCAATCCTTTTATAGAGCACAATTCCCATGCCACCCTTTTATTTCTAAAAAAAGCTAATCTAGCAGACTGGGAACATTGCATCTCATAAAATCTTATTAAAACGTTTGGTTGATAGCATTGCCTCATTACAATTTATTTCATCTTTTATCTTTTGTCCTGCTGTAGATTAAACTTTACTCCAGAATCTCATTTTCCTCTCTCTTAGAAGTCATGCACCCATCAGATTTCTGCCATATCCAAATCCAGCTTGTTTTAATGTATCAAATCCATTTTCTAAACCCATTCTTGCAGATGTCTGAAGCAGAAGCAGCAGCCAAGTCAAGATAAGGCTTTGGCTGTGTATGATTGATCGATAGATCCCTCTCCTGTTACCAACTACTGTGGTATTGGAGTTTCTCTCTGAAGCCCAGATTATTTATACAAGGCTAGTCTGCAGATTATGCCAGTTTTGGACAAGGAATGC